AGCACCTTTCCCAACTAAGAAAATGTATTAAAATTTACTTAATCTGATGAAGCATCTGATAAAGTCAGCTGCAGCTCACAAAAGCTTATGCCTTTTAATAAAATTTGTTACCCAAAAAGGTGCCCAGTTATGGCTGCATTATATGAAGAATGTATAGTTTATGGATGAAGCAAGGGTTCAGCTGTGGGATGAAATAGGAAAGGCAGCGTGCTAAACTCAAACTAATTTTTGTTGTACTTTGTGCTATTTAATTTTGGAAATAATAGAAAGTTACTGAACCATAGATGAAAGATATGTCAAACTCAAGGATTTGATTTTGCATTTATATATGATAAATTACATTAATTTTACTAAAGTCACAGTCAAACTCAGCAACTTCTTTTTGTTTTAATGGAAGCATCATCCACATGGAAAATTATTTTATTACAAGGTATTAAGTACCAAAGAAATCTAAAATATTACTGGCTTATAATTAATGTCTTTTTTTGTTTTCCTGACATAATTTGACATAATTTGGATTTGCAGACAGACTTTAAATTTCTTTGTATTTCTATTTTCAGTGTCACTGTCACTTTATCATTTGATTGTCATATTAATAATAATTATTATCATTTATATATTTATATGCCGCCAATTCATCTGGATAGCTTTGATATCTGAAGCATCAAACACAACAGATATTTATATTTCACTTGGTCTTTTGCTATGATGTTCCAGTTTTGTAGTCCATGTCTCCACATTGTAAAAGGTTGTTCAAAAGGGTGTGCATAATTATAGGGCCACTACCATGTTACTTTTGCGTCCATTTTTAGTGTATACAATAATAAATCTGTTGGATCTGCTGTGTGTTGGGCATCAAAAGAGTGTGTATTATTTTGGTGAAAGAAGGACAGATTTTGAAGCATAAATCTAACATATTCCACAAATATCGGAAATTAATTGGTGTGTTTCATAAGAGGCTATATTATAATGGCAACATTGTCTTGGATTCTGTTGAGCTACAATATGTGCCACTGTGCAAAAAGACCTAGCAGCAGATAGATCAAACAGCCGAATTCTACATGATTCCAGAATCCAGTATTTTTCATCCATTTTTGGATAGTTGTAGGTGCCAGGCCAAGAACTTGGGTTTCCCAGCATTTCCTTTTGATTAGGAATAGCCTTTTCTTCACTTTTTTCTAACCTGCCAAGTTCATGTACTAATTCGTTAATCATAGTTTTGTGCAGGAGAAATAAGTGCTTGAACTAAGTAATTTTGTTTCATAGCCATGATTAATTTTTTGCCACTGTAGAGTCACTTTTTATCTCCCATTGCTTGATTGTTCTCCCTGAATTAAAAGGAAAGGAGGAAATAAATGGGTCAAGCTGTCTGCTTGTACAACAGGAGTCAGTTTTAAGTAGAATCGACTTATTTTGTGCACTGAACTCTTCGTATGTGAGACCCTGGGCTGTCCCCTCTCAGATTCAAAAAGATTGTATTTTCTGCTTGTTGTACAGTATTACAAAAATCTATACAGTAAAAAGCAACATTTATTAGCTGTTTTTGAAAGCCAGTTGGGATTAATGAAACAATATTACATTCATTAAATTCAAGTAGAATAGATAGTGACATTCTGTTACACCCTATTCAGTTGCTATTAGAGTTTTCAGAAAGAAAAGATTAGTAGTTTATGAAATCAAGTTTGTCATCTTTATTTACAGAATATTTATCTCAAGAATATATTACAGTGTTTCTCAACCTTAGCAACTTTAAGATATGTGGCCTTCAACTCCCAGAATTCCCCAGCGAGTATGCTAAGTTGCTAAGGCTGAGAAACACTGATATATTATAAAGCAACAGGTTTATTTATTAATTAATTTTTTACACTACCCAATACCCAATAATTCTGGGCAGTTTGTAGTACATAAACCTAATCTTAAGGTTCTAATTATTTACCAATTTTTCAAAAAGAACTATTCAATGTTTCTTATTCAGTATTATTATGCAGCTCTAATGCTGTTAAACCACAGAGTCTAATTTTATGACTCTGAACTTTAAGCCAAAGTTTTATGTTGGATGTGAATTTTTATTGTAGGTGTCTGGAAACACAGTCCTGTTAGCTTTACTGTTAATAACAACAGCAATACATTTTCCATTATCTATGCCCATTCAATAAATGCTGTGTGTGAGAAAGACTGTGTTCACACTTCTGCCTGCAAATGAATGCATAAATTGAACATCAAAGATATTTAAGGATGATATAATTGTATTATTGCTATGCCCCCTGTGGCCCTCAGTTGCAGACATATGTGGTAAAAATAATGGTATGATCTAACTTATGTGGCATAAATAACTATGTTTACATATCTTCTGTCAAAGAATAGATAACTAGAAAAATCTCCTGATGCCCAGTTCTGAGATATCTTCTCAGACAGAAGCTATTGATATATTTAATTATTAGATTTATGACTTAATTTCTCAAATGGGGCAATGAAGTGTATATCTTAATATTGTTTTCATATTAGTTTTTATATGTGACCATTGCAGTAATATTAGATTTCACTCTTATGATATTAATAACATGAAAAACCTCAAAAACTCTGGTTTGCAACTGCTTGAAGCAAAACAGACTACAAAAATGAACAAAGGGAAATGCCTGCTGCTGTTGACTAATGAGTCAAGCATGCTTTTCATTTAATTTACCCTGCAATCCCTATGTAATTTCTACCTTCACATGACCACAAAAATTAATTGGGCCTGCAGCACTGTGTGGGAGAACAACTTCAGAGCAATACAAGCCCGTTCATATATCTGAGACTGCATTCATGTTCTCTCCAAACTTTATCCCTGTTTAATTCAAAAGAAAATGTTAAGATACTTGCATGTCTAAAGCAATGATCCAAAAATCCAAGAAGATTTGTATGATGACCAACTGAAATTACATATTTTATGATTTGCTGTACAGTACAGTAGTTGCGAACCAATTTGTTTTTAGAGTAGAACAATGAGCATTGTTTTGCCTTACCATTAAATTATACCCCTGTTTATCCTAACAGAGTCTTCCCTACTCTGGAATAATTGGACTAGAATTTCCAGAATTCTCAGCCAACTTAGTGACTAGCTAGGAATTTTGGGAGCATTTCTGACATATCCAAAGGGCACTGACTACAGGGAAATCTATGCAACCTATGCAAATATTACCAAAATCAACCTGATTATGAGTAGTCAGGAATATGCACTAGAGAATTGGAAGTACAATAGCTCAACCATAGGAAATATTGATTGCTCCCCCCCCCCAAAAAAACAACCAGCAATAGTAAAACTATTCTTTACTTTATCCAAATAAGCATATCTTTCAGTTCTAAAAGTCTCTCTCTTTTAAAGATATTTTAATTTAATTCCTTTAAGCTAGGGGCAGTGAAGGTGATCTTGGTTTGAATTCTGACTGGATTTTGCAATTGGCCATGCTGTTTGGAGGTGTTGGTCCAAACTGTATAGAGAATGTTGTGATGCTTATCAATATCTTGGGATTATGTTCTTACTTTTTCTGCCATCGAACCACACATATAGTCTGATTTCCTATAGTGGTATGTGGGAATGATCTTGGAAGACAAAAGGGAGAGCTGCAGACTGGCAAACTGGCATGTAAAAGATGTCTCAGCCCACAGAAAAGGGATGGCATGGAAAACATTTCAGAAGGGACCCTCCCTAGTTTTCCAGAGAGTAAAAGGAAGGGAGGGGAGAAATACTTTCAGTCTTGCAATTTTGACAGAATCTTCTGTTAACAGAATCCTCTGTTAATGTAACCTCCTGGTTGTGCTTCTTATCTGGACTACCTTGCAGGTCTAACATTTCCACCCCACCTATTCAAAAAGAGACCAAACATTTGTAGAATTGAAAGTGCCTCACACGTTGTGCATTTGTTATCATTCTATGCCTTTGGTCAGAGTTTTGTTGGGATAGTGGAAAAAATTAAAATGTGGCTGTGCGGGTGGGATACAGACAAAGATCATTTGGAAAAACTCCCAAGGCAGTCTAGTACAGGAAGAACAGATTAAAAATCTCCATGCCAATTCTGGTTGCATTTGCTTCTCATTTGCTCTATTGCATTAATGGCTTTCTTCAAGTGGAGCTAATCCATCTGGTCAGAATGTATAATTCTTTGCAATGAGATACTTATTCTACTTTTATGAGCTCATTCTCACTAATTTTATTAGTACACTTTTCCTAGTGCATTTGATCATCATAGCTTGGTTATGTATGATAATGGACATGGACTGACTAAACAGAGCATTGAAATGACTTCATGAGGAATGCAGATCTCTCCCTAAGCACAATTAGTTGCAGATGGTAAATTTATTCTTTCCTGATTGAATGAAATGGTGCCACATAGTCACAGCTGAACAATGCAAAGAATAATACTGTTTTTTTATAATCTTCAGATATAACTAACATATCAGGCTGCTTGGAAGCTTCAGTGAGTGGCCTCTGTTGAGGCATGCAGTGACATTCTTTGTGGCCTACCACTGCCTAGGGGCTGTAAATAAATAATGCTGGTTTTTTTACCTATTCATTTATTATATTACATTGGCATTCCACCCTTCATCCAAGGAACTTCAGCAAGCGACTAAATTATCATTGCCTGTGATATCCTCACCCATGTTTTGTTTGCCTACCATCCTTAGCCAAATAGATGTTGGAGCTTTTATACCAAAGGAGTAATTTAAGAAAACCTATTTTTCCCCATTGGAGAGAAGATTCTTTCCAAACCTCCCACAAAAATGCTGGATATTCAACCTCGTATCTTCTACTTACAAAACATGTACTCTGCTTCTGAACAGGGGTGTGAAAAATTTGGCAATCTGTGAACAGAACATTCTGAGGAATGAGTAAAAATACATCTTCTTCTTCCTTTGTCTTAACTGTTCTATTCAGTTATACTTACATTCCTCATTGTAGTTCATATGTGATAGTACATAGGTTGTGTATTGATTGGTTGTATTTTGACATTTTAATTCAGGATTGTGGTTCAATCATTCATCCTGAGGAATCCTGTGGTTTGCAGCCTCTCTCTGCTGAATACCTGTCAACCATTTCACAACCACAACTGAAGACATGTGAAATGGGGGATGTAAAAGGTGTGTTCTTAATATGTTTTGTGATATTCAGAAATCTTTTCACATTCTTACAAGCTTGAATATTCTTTTCTGTCTGCCACTGGGAGTCAGTTATACTTAAAAAAAGAAGAAAAATCTCAAGCTTCATTCACTGATCATGAGCTAAGAAAGATAATTTTTTAGCAAGAAAAATCAGAATTAATTTTGTGTTCCTCTCAAGAAATAAATATTGCCAGTACCAAAAAAAGGTTTCTAGGCATAAATAAATGTCTGCCCAATTTATTTGTGCTCAGCAAATTCCAGATAGAAATGTAAGAATGATTATCATTTGCTTTCTAGGACAGTGGATCGTTCCTTGCCTTAGTTGTTCTGATAATAGAACTTGTGATTGGAGGCAGATAACATGGCAGCCAAGAAATTGTCAGTACCCTGTTCTGAATAAACCAGAACTCCAAAAGTGTGTAGAAAGAAAAAAGGTAAGTCACAAGGTTGGTACAGAAAGTCTACAAGAAAAGGATAATTAATTTAACTCTTCATTTAAGCTATTGTCCATGTGTTTTTAAAGAACCAAAATACTGAATTACGAATGTATTAATAATTCTTCCATTGTAATTTGTATTATGATGGAAGAACTAACATTATTCTTTCTTAAATATATCATTATCATTTTTAATAGCTTGTCACTTGGCAGCATTCAAATTTTGCATTAAATGGTCTAAATAACCCTTTAAGGTATTGACCTGTTTCAGTTGGCAAAATGCTGTATATTAGTGTTAGAAATTAATATGTTTTGCATGAATTCTGTTTCTTCTGCTGGTTGTGTAATGCATGGCTTTGCTTCTGCTGATTAAATTTATGAAGTCTTCCTTCACATTCTTGTGCAGGCCTGAGGTGGACTTCACTTTTCTTACCTGGAAGAATCTAAGATGACTGCTTAGAAAAGCAGTTTCTCCTTAATAGGCATGGTGTGACTGTCTAACATCTGGCTGAGATGGGTGGCACAGGTACAGCTGTCTCCTAATACACATCTTCAAAAGTAAATGCTACATTGCAAATGTTGCAGTGTGTTATACAACTTAAGAACCAGTACTTAGAAATAACCCCAATACTAAGCTGCATGAGTTAATGAATGGCTAAAATATTCACCTATATATGGATGCATGAACTTCTTTAACACACATATACATTTTATTTTGGAGTAAGCAACCTGGTGTTATCCAGATTGTTTGAACTATAGCTGCGAGAATTCCAATTTTTTCATGAAAGGAATTAAAGCCTAAAACAGTTGCTGGACACCACATTACTTAAATTGCCTTATATCAGTGTTTCTCAACCTTAGCAACTTTAAGATGTGTAGACTTGAAATCCACAGATCTTCAAATTGGTGAGGTTGAGAAACACTGTTTTATATAATGGCACTGTGAAAATGTTCTGGAATAGAGGGAGCCAAATCATAATTGGTTCCAATAGAGCCAAATAGAAAGTTTGGGTGTCTTATCTTCCCGGCTGATGTAGCCAAACAGAATTACTGCTAAGGTTTGACAGGAAATATCTAACATTCCTTTTCTGCTCCTGCCTTATTTAGCACATAATTCTTCAATTCCATCTGTGGCCATCCATTTCTTCTCTAGCTTTGAGAAACTTAAATTCAGTTACACTATCTGAAAGCTGGACTATCTAACTTTATTTCTGTCGTAATTTCACCTTGCAAAATAATTAATCTAGAAAGAATGGTTCTACTCTATTTTAAAACAACATGAAGTCTTTATTTGTGGCAGGTCTGCCTGTTTATACTTATTTAGACTTGCTTAAAAGGAAAGGATATATCTTAATTCCTTTAAGAAACAAAATAAATTTATAAATAAGATATAAACACAAAAACAATCAGGAAAAAAACCCCCAAAACATCCAATGTACAAAAAAATAAGTTCAGCTCAATTTTTAAACACATCATTAAGTCTTGACCACACAGAATAATATCATTTTGTCTTTCTATTACATTGAGAGCCAGCCCATAAACAAAGCAAACAAATTAGAACAATATAGAATTGTAAAGGTGGAGTTGTGCTGTCTTCCCATCTTTGAAGAGTAATATTTTTTGATATATATAGTGTTTGGGTGTGTATGTGTGTGTATACACACACACACACACATAAATATATATACAGTATATATATAACATATATTTCAAATATTTGATATATAATTGAAGAATTTACTCACATCTTTAAAACCGTAAATGTGGAGAATCACCCAAAACAAATTGCAGCACTGACAGATTTGGGAATGAAATTGGATGATTTAATGGGTTATATTGCCTTTTTACAATTTTAAGCAATCCATTTTTTTCTTGCAATAACTTAAATGGTATAAACATAGATATATCTGCAATTTAAAACTAGTAATTACCCCAGAGTATAAGTGTGAATAAGGGTTAAAATTATATTTTTTGTTCCAACATTTTGCAGATATACCTTGCAGCATTTAATGTAGGGAATGTGCTATGGCTAAAAATGGAGCTAAGACCCTGTCATGATATTGAAATGAATGGCTGTTCACAGGAAGAATTGGGGGGTGGGGGAGATGAAAAATGATGTTGTGATGCAAACTCTGCATCTTTTGTACTTGCAATTGTGACATTAGACACTAGTATGTAAGAGGCAGAGCTTGTGTCACACAATACACTTTTGGTCATTTTGGTTAAATTTTCAGCTTCTGCAGATGTCAAAA